GAAGCCATTAAGTGGCAAATGTTCCAATAGCCGTCCCCAGCAGCTCAGCCAAAGGTCGTTCTGCTGGCACTGCGATTGTATTACATGCCCTAGGTCTTCTTATTATCCAGATTCTGAGAACCACAAACGGGGCTGTGAAATCATTCGGGGAACTCTTGGCATTCTCGATGGTATGTTTCCATTTACTAGGGAGGGCTGTTCCAGAAAGAAAACAACAACAACAACCAGGCGTTGGTGGAAATATCAGGAGGCTGACAACAGGGTCTTTCTAGGAAATTCTCAGCTCACCACTTTGCAAAATACAAATGATTTATGCCTTGCTTGGATCCCCAGTATAACTTGACAGGAAGCCAAAACATTGCAATCAAAAGGAAAACTGATGGCCAGGCTCAATGCTAGCTTGAGAAATCTGTTAATGGCCTCTGTGTGTTTCTCCATGTAGCCTGGCCGGTTCTGTGGTTCTTCTGCCCCAGTTCAGATAACTTTCATGCATCGCATCCGATGCATGCAGAGGGCGAGTGCTGAAACTCTTGATTGTCCCTCATTACTAGGGCAGCTCATGAAATCTGAGCACCAAGAAGCTAAATCCAGCTTCCTCCCTAGGAGAGGGGCAATATGTAGAATTGCCCTTGGACTGAAAGTGAAGTATGATAGGAATTTGGGGGTGGAGAGGGGAGATGTTGATTTTGGACCCTTTATATTTCTAAGAACTGTATTTTCCAATGAGAAGAGAAAGGGTGTGTTAGGCTTGGAAAGAGGCAAAGGATGTAACTGGATATTAGCCTTCCCCCCCCTCCCCCTAGCATTTTCCAGCTTTCCTCCAAACTACATTAGTATTCTTAAGATTCGGTCCATGTGATGCATTGAAGATTGGGGTGGCAATCTCATTTATCCCGCGGTGCCATTTTGAGGGTTTACTATTGTGCCAAGCGAATTCATTTACTAAGGAGCACAGTGGGGCATTGCACCTATATAATCTGAATGGATGAATCTGCCTTATACAGAGTCAGACATATGGTGTGTATCCAAAACATGCTTGTCTCCTCGAACCGGCGCAGTTCGCCAAGGTCTCTGGGCCAAATGAGACGTGATCCCTATTCAAGCGATTAGCAGCTATGTGAATATGTGTACTTTTTAAAACGAGGCCCTGGGCTCCCAGTCTTGTACCATTTGCCCCCTGCTGTGATCCTACTCAGTATTTTGGGGGGGGGGGCATCCTGTGTCTGCTTTTTGCACCAGGAAAAAAGTTCTCCCAGAAGAGCTTTCCTTCTTTGCAAAGGCAAGCAAAGCTTCTGAGTCTTCCCCCACCCATAGTTTTAAGCTGGCTTGGAAGAAATGCAGCATTTAATTAACTAAACTTTCTAAGCCCAGAGGGCTTCTTCCAAGAAGGAATTCCATAAACATGGTGTTCCATAAATGTGGCTGCACCACAGAAAAAAGGGCTGCTATGCATCATCACCAGACTAGTAGCGGATCTATCAAAGGCATGCCAAGCAAACTTCCTTAATATTTATTACTCATTATATAATTAAGAGATAGGACTGCTCCACAAATTATGCTTCGTCGTATCAGAAAACACCGCAGTGATGGAGAAGGCATGTAGATTATGAGGGGCATCAACAGTTGCAATTCATTGACTGGGAAGTTGTGGCGGTTGATTGTAACTTCTCAGTGTGGGCGCATGCAATGAATCGCACATGTGTGCAGTCACCACCAGCAGTGATTTGCATGTGAACTGAATGTTATGTCCAGAAATGCTTTGGGGGGGGTGCCACATGAAATAGCCTTCCTCTAACAGGACCCAGTAATGTCATCTGCAACAATGTTCACAAAACCCTCTTCCAAAGTGATTTATGCCATCATCCGCCAAAGGCTTCTACAAAGCATAGGCAGGGGAGTTCCATGCAAAAGAATACATCTGACGTCAGAAACAGCAATATTCATAAACCAGTGAGTGGACATTTTAACCTCCTAGGATGTCCTGTAACTGACCGTTCAGTAACAAAATAACTTCAAAGGGAAAATAGAAGGGAAACAGCTGAAGTTTAATGCCACGGCACTACACGCATGATGGCTTACCCAGGATATCTTATGACTGTTACTTGGGCAAGGTTTCCTGTCCCATTAGAGGTGATGACTCTATTATTGTTTTAACAACCACCTGCTGCTGTAATAGGTTAAAGGCATGCCTATTTAGCATATAATTAAGCTCTAATTATCAGAGATTTTTGCGTATCATTGCCATTTAACTTCCACCTTCCAATTTCCTCCTCGTAGACCTGCCTATTAAGATTTCACTTCATGCATCAGACAGTGCGGATATGAAAGCTTATTCTCCAATCAATGTATTAATCTTTAAGCTGCCGCAAGATTCTCTGGTTGCGAGGCTGCCCTGTGAAAAAAATTACTCCCTGATAGCTCACAAATCAAACAAGGGTGGTGCACAACATTATCAAACAATTTACAAAGCATAATAATAAAAATAAAAGAATCACAGAGAAGAATCATAATAACAGTCCCCACCCTATTTAAAGCCCATAGATTGTTTTATGGCCAAAGGCCATAGGTAAAGAGAAATATTTTCCCCTTGAATCTAAAGACATGTAATGATTGCATCAAGCGAGCCAGCATTCCACGAACAGGGAGCCACCACAGAAAAGTCCCATTCTCATGTTCCCGCCCTCCAAACCTCCTTGGGAGGGGGGACACAGAGAAGGGCTTCGGATGACAAGCACAGAGTCTGGGCTGGTTTGTATGGGAAAAGAGAATCCTTAAGATAGTGAGGTGACCCTGAGCCACGTAAGGCTTTACAGGTCATCACCAGCCTGGAAACTAATCGGCAGCCAGTGCAGTCGGGCCAAGATTGGTATTATATTCTCCACTCATCTTGGCCTTGTGAACAACCTGGCCGTTCAATTTTGCACCGGATGAAGTTTCTCAGCCATCTTCCAAGGCAGCCCCACATCTAACACATTGCAGTAATCTAACCTAGAGGTTACCAGAGCATAGGCCACAGAAGTTAGGCTACCCCTGTCCAGATAGGAGTGCATCTGGGCCACCAACTGAAGCTGACAGAAGGCATTCCATGCCACCGAGGCCACCTGGGCCTCAAGGGACAGCAATGGATCTGGGAGCATCCACAAGCTACGCACTTGCTCCTTAAGAGGGAGTGTAACCCCTTTAAAAGCAGACAGTCTCCCTCCTGAGAGCCGCCCACTAACAGTGCCTCAGTCTTAATTTGGATTGAGCTGCAGTTTGTTGGCTCTCATCCAGTTCATTACCGAGGCAAGACAACGGTCCACTAGCAATCCACTGCCACACCTTTAGCAGAGCTGTGTGTCATCAGTATATTGCTGACATGTCCTGCCATATTTCCTGAATATGTCCTACCATTGTTACAAATCTTGACTGTTATTTATGTAGAAATTACGGAAAGTTGATTCAGGCATTGCACAGATATAACTGCTCTCCCCTGTACTGGAAAATTGTACTGTGGCAGCTGAATGTATGAACATCCACTAAAGAGCATTTCATTTGAGGCAATGCTTAAGTTCTTTGTGTGATTTTAAATTCACTGATGTAAAACACCATGATGCTGCAGTGTGATTGGCTGTGACCCAGGGTCTGATGACTGTTGTCCGCATGTATGAATTGATTCCAATAATAATTTAAAAAGTTATACCCATGGCATTACACCTAGGATGTTCATTAACACAAACACACCATCAAGTAATGGTCATTCATGTGTCATAATAGTCACACGTATGTGCAATCATCAGGACAGATCCTGAAGCTGAGGCTCAAATACTTTGGCCACCTCATGAGAAGAGAAGACTCTCTGGAAAAAAACTCTGATGTTGGGTAAGATGGAGGGCACAAGGAGAAGGGGACGGCAGAGGATGAGATGGTTGGACAGTGTTACAGAAGTAACCAACATGAATTTGACGAAACTCTGGGAGGCAGTGGAAGACGGGAGTGCCTGGTGTGCTCTGGCCCATGGGGTCACGAAGAGTTGGACATGACTAATCGACTGAACAACAACATGTGCAATCATCACACACAATGATCTAGATCCCAGTTGCATAAACCAATTGTTTTCTGCTGCCCTGGAGGCTTCAAGTTACAAGAATGCCAACTAAACCTCAGGAATAACTTCCTGGTGGCAAAAGCTGTTCAGCAGTGGAATGGTCTCCTTTGGAAAGTGGGTTTTTTAAAGCAAAGGTTGGAGGGACATCTGCCATGGATGCTTTAGCTGAGATACCTGCATTGCAGGGGATCGGAATAATGACCCTTGAGGTACCTTCCAACTCTCAGATGAGAGTCGGATCAATAGACAAACAGGAGCTGCATGAGCTCAGTTTGGGCTACCTCCCCAATAAATGGGCTTGTGCCTCCCTTCTCCATTTCTGTTCTTGGTCCCTGTATTTCTTTCTCTGCGGCTGTTTCCCTGCCAGCTCTGGGCTCCGCTTCTCTCCTTGCTAATCTTCATTGCTGCATGTGCTGCTGCTGCTGCTGCTGCTGTTTTTGTTTTGTGCCTCTCTCTGGCGAGGACACATTAGCTCACTCTTTTCTCAGAAAGCTGTGGGAACAGCCCCACCCTTGTTCCCTGCTCCGCGCATGTGTCCCCAGTCGAGAAATAAACAAGCCCTTGTTATAAATGGGCAGCCGGCTCAGCTGCCATTGTCGTCACGCTGCCTCTGTGCCATGCAAGCGCTGCCGGGAGGGGAACACTCTGTCTATAAAGTGCCGCGGGAACAAATTCCCTTTGGAGCAGCGGTTGCGTTGGGGCCTGCAGGGAGCAGGTCAGGAGACGGCTTCAGGCCTGCCGCCTGCCTGCGCATTCCTGGTGTTCCCTTTGCACGCTGTTGCCCGGGAAACGGCACAAAGCTCCGCTGATAAAGCCAAATGTGAAAGGCAGTCCTGCTGAAGCAGTTTCCAGTGTGGGAGCCAGGAGAGCCAAATTCAGTGATAGGAGGAGCGGATCAGGCACAGTTACGGATGCCACTTGTGGATAGCTCAGCTGCCTAGAGCGTGGTGCTGATAACCCCAAGGTCACAGGTTCGAGTCCCTTAAAGGGCAGCTGCATATCCTTCCAATTCTATGATTCTACTCAATTTGCTGAGGTGTGCTCATCTCATTCAGGAGAGATGGGAACCATTTCCAACCCTAGGCCCACATTCCCTTTGGGCAACTGAACCTCCGGTGGACTACAAGCCTGTGGTGGGCAGGGCCTGAGGCCTGGATGGGTGGATCAAGGAATGCAAATATTACCTTTGCACAGCTGGTTTTGACCTAAGCACCACTCTCCATTATCCATCCAGGCATGCAAGAATCACTGTTCAAGAACACCTTCCAGTTAGGAGAAAACACCTCAAGGTGGGTGTGGCCTGGAGAGACTCCTGAGGGCCAGAGCGGGCTGCATTTGGCCTCCACCCCTCTTTCAATTCCCAGTAGTCCTGCTGGAGAGACAGCTCCACTGAACTCGCCTGGAACTTACTTCTGAGCACCTGCACAGGACTGGTCTGCAATCTGTGATTGTTGCTGCAGTGGCCCAGCACTTTTGAGTCTGCTGCTGGGGTGGGGTGCAGCCCAGAGCGTGATCAGTCATCAGATTGTATCTCTTTAGCATTGCACTTTGGGATTCCACAAGAATATGAATTGCCTAGCCTTGGTCCAACTAGCAGTCCAACTTTTATCTATCGTCTGATAGGGAAGCTCAGAAGCAGGGCCTGAAGGCGACTGGCTCCCCTTCTTGTTTGTTCCTGGACTCCGTATGTGGAGACTACACTTAGCAATCCAGGCTAACAGCACATTTCTCATTAAAGTACTAAAACCCTTCCTGTGATTGACCTGGAAAATCCATTTCCCTTTCCATCTATGTATCGCTTGTCCTTTCTCCTTCATTATCATCATCGCCATAAAAAAAACCAAACCCCAACAAGTATACTTGCAGCATGTTTTTTTATGAGTGGTGCTTACTGTATTTACTCTATTGCTCACCTTTTTCAACCAAATTATGTTGCAAAAATTAAGGTGTGCATTAGATTTGATGGCACATTTACATTTGCCAGCAAATACTTTTTTTTGGTTTCAAGGTTCTGGAAATTGAGGTGCGCATTAGGTTCAACGGCGCATTAGACTCGAGTAAATATGGTAAATTGTTTTTTTGCGCTTTCCAGATCTGTAAACTCTTCATTGGCTAGAAAACACGTTCAGTTGTTTCAAAAGGCTCTCTTCTATGGCTTATCAAACTCTTAACATATTAAAACATCCTCTATTGCAGACTAAAAGGAACTCGAAGCATCACTGGAGAAAAATGTGTGTCAGAAGAGAGTTCCTCACATTTCTACAGCCTGGAGTCTGTGGTATTTTTGGAAGAATCAGCATGGTATGGCCGTGTCTTCTTGGTTATTCTGGAACAGAAAGCACTTGCTACTTTTTAAAGCCAGCAATGGCCTTGTTATAAGGCAGCCTTTGCCGACTATAGGTTTTCTGCTACAACTCCCATCAGCCCTAGGCAGCACAGCCAGTAGATCTCTTGCTGTATGTAACATACCAGCTTAGACCAGCGGTCCATTCATTCCAGGGATGGGGAACCTGTGACCATCCAGACATTGTGGGACTCTGGTTCCCATCAGCCCCAGACAGCAGGGTCAGTGGTCAAGGAGTTGTGGTCCACTAGCACCTAGAGGACCATACTGGTTCCCTATCACTTCAGCAAGAGACAATTTCTCTCATGCAAGCCTGAGAGCATGCAATCAATGCTCCATGGTCAAGGTCAAAGAAGTCTCTGCTTGTTCAGTGCCGTCATGGGGAGCCCCTATTTCACCCACGTTCTTCCCATCAAGTGGCCTCCAAGTCCTCACAAGCAGGGCATGAAGGAGATGGTCTTTGCTAGAAGTTTGTCCCTCCCTAGCATCTGGCATGCCTAGAAGTATACTGCCCCGGTATGTGGAGGCTCCATCTAGCTTCCATGTGATACAAGATAAAGCTTCCTATTTTTCCCTCTACTTCTAGCTTCTGAACTAGAAGTTGGAAGTACAGTTTATAAATTGAACTCATTTGCATCCAACTCTTCTTCCAAGGACCTAGGTAAGCAGCCGTTTAGCTTTTTACCTCGTTAACAACCCTAGGAAGTGGTGATGCTGAGATTTGCCCAAAGCCAAGGAACTCTGTGGCTCTGCGTGGAGGTTTGGTCCTCCCCCTTTCTCATCAAGTCAACACTATCTCCACTCTTGGTACCCGATTCCCCTACACCCACCCACCCCATAGAAACAAGCAAGCTTGGAAGAGTGTTCTTTTTAAATCAATCTTAGTGCTGTTAATGGGGCAATTCTACATTTGCACATATTGAAACAGATAAGCATTTGTTCTGCCTAGCTTTTAGCATGTGTGTTATCTACTATGGACTGAATATTTTCTGGTTTTATTGTTACTGATTTTTTAGATTGTTTTTAACTACTCTGGGATTTCTAATGGAAGGCGCTGTACAAAGGATTTAATATGCATGTTGCAGTTTCCTCCCCCTGCTCCAATAAGAAACAGATTTCACTGTCTGTGTGTCTCTGTGTGTGTCCATGCATGTGTATACTTAGGGACAGATCTCTTCCAAAGCATTCAGCTCACTCTTCCCTGACTAATTTCATCCACCAGTGTTGCAATAGGAAGACCTGCAGCTTCCATCTTCTGAACTCATTGACTCATCAACATCACTAGCGGGTTAACTCTACAATCATAGAATTGCTTTCTTCTCTGTGGGACTCCAATAAAGAAAGCCTTTATTATGGGACTGTAATGTAGTTCCATCTTTCCATTGCAACACTGGTGGTTGGAATGAGAAGAGTTCAGACTAGGGCAGGAGAAATGGAAAGCTTTGGGAAAGGCCTGGCTTGACCTCCTTGCTTGCCTGCCTGCACACACACACACACACACACACACACACACAAACACAAAATTTCTTATTAGTCCCACTGATTTCCCCAAGGACTGTGGTGTTATGGCATTGCTATGATGGAATCTAGCATGAGTCCCATGACCCATGGGGAACTGGGTATGGATTGGCAGGCTCCGATGGAGATGAAGAATGAAGAAGCAGCAAGACAGAAGTTATGGGAACTGGAGATTGAGGACAGACGTTCTCCTTTTTGATGCCAGCTACTATAGAAGTAGCGGGTGGCGCTGTGGGTTAAACCACAGAGCCTAGGACTTGCCAATCAGAAGGTCGGCGGTTCGAATCCCCGCGACGGGGTGAGCTCTCGTTGCTCGGTCCCTGCTCCTGCCAACCTATCAGTTCGAAAGCACGTCAAAGTGCAAGTAGATAAATAGGTACCGCTCTGGAGGGAAGGTAAACGGCATTTCCGTGCGCTGCTCTGGTTCGCCAGAAGCGGCTTAGTCATGCTGGCTACATGACCCAGAAGCTGTACACCGGCTCCCTCGGCCAATAAAGCGAGATGAGCGCCGCAACCCCAAAGTCGGCCACGACTGGACCTAATGGTCAGGGGTCGCTTTACCTTTACCTTTACTATAGAAGTGGGAGCAGGAACATTGGCTCCTGGGGGGGGGAGCCACATTGGCTGAAGAGGTCCTGGACTACTAGGGTAAAGGAGAGCAGCGGAAGCAGCAACATAGTGTCCTTGGTTCACCCCTCAAGGGTCCCCAGTCATCCTCCTGGATATTGAGAAAATCTCCCCGAAATAACCTCCATCTCACAAGAGCCAATGTTCATATTAAGGTTACCAGACGTCCCCGTTTCCTGGGGACAGTCCCCGAATTTACAAATCAGTCCCCTGACAAAATCCATCTATTTAGTAGGAAGTTGAAAAGTGTCCCCAGATTCATTGAAAAATATCTGGTAACCTTCATTCACATACACTTGCTGCTGGAAAGATGAGCAACTGCAAATAGCCCTGAGTTTATATATTCTGCCTCACAATCCCCAATGAATGGAAGACTTTGACTTATGCATGCTGGAATTGCAATACACCCCACCCCCAAGTTGGGGGAACTACTTTTTGGAACTTCAGAGCCACTCCCATGGTTTTTTAAGGACCCTTTCTACTTCTTTACACTGAAAAGGCAAACAAGCCAGTAGAAGCTGCACCCCTCCCTTATTTCAGGTGATTTGAATACAGTTACAGTAGAATTAGTTTTTACTTACTGTTTGCAAGCCAGCATTGATTTGGAGTCCACATAAAGCCCATGCATAGGAACACAAGTATCTGCTTCCAGACTGTTGCTATTTTCAGGCAGGAATCAATCACAGGCCAGCAAATACAGGTTGCACAATTATAGTTGATTGGGCCGTTATCCAGAACAAACCCATCTGTGGCAAGGAAAGTGATGGGGAATTGCCCTGGGAAGTGTGAGATAGCCCTTGCTTTGATGTAAGATAATCCAGTCAGGATGACTGCTCAATGAAACAGGTCATCTGGAAGTGCCCTACATGTCTACCAATCAGTAGCCATTCTCTGGGGTTTGAGGGAGGGACATTGCCTAGCTTTCATTCAAGACGCCAGGGAATGAACCCAATATTGTCTGCATGGAAAGCGTGTGTGTTCTACCACTGAGCTGAAGCTCTTCCCCTGCACTGCTGAAATCACCTGTGAATCTGTGGAGGTGCAATCGTCCACTGGCGTGAGAGTAAATCAGTAGGTACAAATATTCAGCAAAGTAAGCGAACACTGCAAGCCTTGTCAACAACACACACCCATACACTTTGCCAGGGTGCCAACTTGAATAAAATTTTGAAGCTGGGGGGGGGGGGACACAGGTAAGCCCCACCCCACATAATTGATCACAAGATGCAGCAGCAATGCCCATCAATTTTGGGGGCCCTTGGCCCTCTCAAATATTTTTTTTTGGGGGGTGTGATGGGACCTCCCCAGGAGTTGGTGTCTGTGCACTTTGCTGTCAACTTCACCTGCAAGTGAAGGTTTGGTGGTGGTGAGTTGTCCTGCTTATCCTTTGTAATTCTAGGGTTGCCAACTGATGAGAGATAAAGGGCCCAGTTTGCTCCAGGGCTTTTAACTGTAGTACTTAGCAGATGACTTTTTTCGCAGCACTGAGATGAATCATGTCTG